CAGAACCTTTATATAGACTGTCCATCTGTGCCAGTCACTTTCCAGAGATACCCATATAGCTGTCTCTTATCTCCTTCAACAAGTTTGTTCAAGTTCTGCTCGAAATAAGAGCTATCCTTTTAATTAATTCTACCCATCATATATGAAATTTCTCCCTCTTCAGCAGTACCTGATCTGTGTTCTACTTTTTATATTTCCAATTGCATTTGTCTTCTAACATATCATTTATGTATTATGTTTATTGATTTTTATCTACCTCACCTCTCCATTAAAATGTAAGCGCTATGAGGACAGTGGGATTTTAATTTTTTTGTTTGGATCATAGATATCTTAAGGTGACTAAAATGACTAAGATATTTCCTAAGTAGCTTTTCCTTGCTTTGAGTAGGCAATAAATAAATATTTGCTGATTTTATACATTTTCTAGAGAATAGCTTCAACATGAAGATTGAAGACAACAAAGCCTAATCTGTGATCTAAATGGTTAAAGTCACAGCAGCAACATTACATCTCATTTTTTAATAGACCTAGGAATTGCCAAGTGAAAATCCAATGTTGACTTTGAAGGATATTAGGTTTATTAGCAAGGTGGTCCTTGGCTGTAATAGCAATGGGTAGAAAAGGAGCCCATTGACTTGAAAGATGACTGAAATTAAAGTATACCTGGAGACTACCAATTGATATGACTCTTGTTAGTATCTCAGTTGTATAAAGGCTAGTGCTTAAAATTCCCTTATGTCTTAATGATGAGTTGTACATACACATTAATTATTTTTACTAGTAGACAGGTCAGGGAGGATAGTAGAAAGTAGGGGAGGGCCGGCTGAGTGACTCATTGGTTAAGAGCTGGCTTGGGATGCCAGAGAGCCCTGGTTCGGATCCCACATATGAAGGCCAGTGACACTGCCCTCTACAGCTAAGATGCTGAACAACAGCTCAACCTGGAGCTGGGTGCCCTGAGTCACCAGCGACTGTGTAGGCTGCAGCCCCTGCTGCAGTGGGTTGCCATGGGCTATCTTGTGTAGCCAGCAGCCAGCATGAGCAGTCCTCAAGCCGCTATGAGTGGCCGTCCAGAAGCCGGTGACTGATCTGCCTCGCCTGGGAAGAGCGCAATGATGGTGCCAACTTGGACCAGTGAAGCAACGTCCTCCACAACTAGACTGAAGAACAAAAGGACAGCAACTTGTCTGTTCCCCTTCCCCCAATTCCCCAGTGCTGTTCCCATCCTCCAATTCCCCAATAAAAATCTTAAAAAAAAAAAAAAAGCAAAATTCTGGAGATGTCCTGTTACCTTCATGTTACTTTATCTGAGTGAATGCCCATAGAATTTTTTTCTTTGTCTTTTTGGTATACTTTACTAGGGTAATAATCATTCTTAATATTTTGTGTGACTCATTGTCCACTTTGTGTGTAGATTTATGTCTTTATTTTAAGCATGATTTCTTTTAAATATTTTTATATAGTATTTCTTTTACATTTGTTTTTTTCTTTAAAAACACTGATTATATTTTAGATTGTTCTTTTCTGTCATCTAAATCTGTTTTTTTCTAAAATCATTTTATAATTTTTCAAAATTCGATTTTGTGTGACTTTCTGAATTTTATCTACTATGTGCTGGACTGTATTTTGGGTTATATTTTCTTTGTTTAATTTCCAAATACTTGAGAATTTTAGAGATACTTTCTTTTATTAGTTTATGGTTTAATTTCATTGTGATCTGCAAATATATGTGTGATTTAAGTTTTTAAAATTTTATTAAGACTTATTTTTTTGGCCCAGAATGTAGCCTGCTTTGATGAATGTGTATTTTGCTTTTGTTGGGAGGGGTGTCCTAAAAGTGTCAATTAGGTCGAGTTGATTGATTGTATTTGTCTTTTTTTCTACTTGTAGCAATTACTGAGAGAAGAATGTAGACATCTCCAGTTTTTGGATGTGTATATGTTCATTTTCAGTTCGATCTTTTTTGAATTATATATTTTGAAGACCTGTAGTATAAATAAACCTAATTATCTGTTTTATCATTATGAAATGTCCCTCTTCATTCCTGGTAATATCCCTTGTTCTGAAATCTACTTTGTTCAATATTAACATAACTCTTTTTTTATTAGATTTACATTGTATGTAGTTTGTTTTTCTTTAACATCCTTTGCTTTTAACCCATATTTTAATATTTAAATAGTATTTCTTATTGATAGGATATAATTGGGTCTTGGATTTTTTAATGCAATCTGGTAATCTCTGCCTTTAACGTGCTTGATGTAATTATATTTTTGAGCTTGACTGTCATCTTTCTGTTTGTTTTCTAATTGTCCCATCTGTTTCTTGTTTCTTTTTTTTTCCTTTTCTAACTTCATTTGGTTTGAATATCTCTTATGATTCCATTTCTTCTCCACTATACCTTTATTTGCTCTACTTTTTTTTTAACTTTATTGGGGAACAGTGTGTTTTTATTTTTTCGGGGAACAATGTGTTTTTTCTACGACCCATCAGCTCCAAGTCAAGTTGTTGTTCTTAAGTCTTAGTTGTGAGGGCACAGCTCAGTTCTCAAGTCCAGTTGCTGTTTTCAATCTAGTTGCGGGGGGGCACAGCCCACCATCCCATGCAGGAGTTGAACCAGCAACCTTGTTGTTAAGAGCACGCGCTCTAACCAACTGAGCCATCGGGCCGCCTACTGGCAACTCAGCGGCAGCTCAGCTCAAGTAGTTGTCTTCAATCTAGTTGCGGAGGGCACAGCTCACTGGCTCATGTGGGAATCGAACTGGCAATCCTGTTGCTCAGAGCACTCGCTCTAACCAACTGAGCCACCTGGCCACTCCTATTTTTTTTGTTTCATGGCTTTAGTTCTAAAGTTTAGAGTTTCTGTCTTTTACTTGTCACAGCTACCTTCAATTAATATACCACTTCACACACCGTATAAAAATCTCATAGCAGTATGTTTTCATTTCTCCCCTCCTGCCCTTTGTTCTGTTATTGTCATATGTCTTACATATGTTTTTGAACCCCTCAAATACTATTTTTACCTTAAACGGTTACTTTTTAAATCTCTTTAGCAGATATTGAGAATGAATGTTTGTTTTTCTTTTTAAAAAAATTCTCCAATGTATTTACCATCCCAGGCACTCTTCTCATTTCTTTGTGTAGATCCACAAACATTTCTATCTGGTATCGTGTTTGTTTTGCTTGAAGAATTTCCTTGAACAGTTTTTGTAGTGCAAGTATGCTGGTGAGAAATTCCTATCTTTTAGTCTGAAAAGCCTTTATTTTGCATACATTTTAAAAAGATGTTCTCTCAGAATTTTGGATTCTAGGTTGACAGTTTTATTTCTTTCATCATTTCAATAATGTTATTCTGTTGTTTTCTTTTGTGCGTGGTTTCTGGCGAGCAGTCCGCTTGTAAGGGTGAAACTCGGTAAATCAGTAATGTGATTAGACTTAAGCTAGTTTGCAGTTTGACTGGCTGCATAGCCTGCTATCTAGCCACCTGTAATTAAACCTAGCTAGTTTGCAGTTAGATCCGCCCTGATAGTCAGCTATTTTCTCTTTCTTTCTCCCCTCACTGATTAACAAAAGAACTCTGTTTTGTTCCCTTTCTCAGGACTACCCATACCTTGTTAATCCTTTTAATTAACAAAATCCTAACCTGGAAAGGGCAATTTCTGAATCCTCAGGCACCCAGACACCTGAATACACATAAAGTCCCAGGCCTCAGTGGCTGAGCTTTAGTCAAGAGTCCAGAGATAACATTATCTTAAAACAGACCAGGCCCCAGGAAGGATGTCAGTCCTGGGACCTGCCTGACTGACTCCCCCTTTTCCGTGTTTTTCTTGTGTACCTATAAAACCATCTGCCTGATCTAGGAATGGAGAGGTGGCCTTGGACAGGAGTCCACCATCCTCCCAGAATGCCGGTATTCGGAATAAACCTACTTTTTTACCACCAACCATGTTTCTCGATTTTTAAATTTTTCTAGTGGCAGGCAGCTGGACCTTAGCACGATATCATGCTTTTATCTTTGTTTCCTTGTATGAAGCATCTTTTCCTACCCTTTGCCTGCTTTTAAGATTTTTCTCTTTAATACTTTTTTTTTTTTTTGAACAGTTTGATTATAACGTGCCTTTGATATGGTTTAAGTGTCTTCTGCTTGGGGTTTGTTGAAATTTTTAGGTCTTTGGTTATATTTCATTAACCTTCACTATCAACTTATAGCTCAACAGACATATTTAAATGTTTCCTTTAAAATGTTGCTGTTTGGAATATTTAATTATATAGGCTTGTCATTCAAAGACAGAATCAGATGAATAAGGCAATGATGAATTAGTTATTGCAGGGCTGATATTCTAGAAATAATTTTTTTGTGTTACTGTCAAGTAGTAATCTGGGTGTAATGTAAATACTTCATAAGTACTTATCAGAGGAATTATAGGATGGGGGCTCTGGATCATATTGCCTGGACTCATATTCCTATTTTTTATGTATTAGTTGTATGATATTTGATACCTTAATTTATCTCTTTGTGGCTTATTTTCCCCATTTTAAAAATGCAATGTATAGATGATGTATGATAGAAGTGTACACTTGAAACATATAATTTTGCTAACCAATGTCACCCCAATAAATTTAATAAACAAAAAAATGAAGATAATGATAATGCCTGTCAAAGAGGCATTTAATCAGTTAATAGATACAAGATACTTAGAACAATGCATATCTGCTAGTAAGTCCTCTTTAAGTGTTAACTAGTATTATTTTCATTATTTCTGATGATTGACTTGATTGAAAAGCATCATTACTTGAGCAGAATATGTGTTTGTATGGACATTATTCTGATTTTTGTATTTTTATTTTTTATTAGTGTAAGAGCTCTGAAATAGTGAAACTTATTTGAAGTTAGTAGAATTGCATATGCACTTGATACTTCTATTTTAAAACATCCTAAATCATTTTATATGTTGTTGTTTATAAATGCTATTTATTGTTACTCTTTCTGTTTTCTTCTGCAGGGCCAAAAGATCTCAGATTGCTGTAACTGAAGGTATATTTGAACTTCCTAATCTTACAATTCAAGCTACAAGAGCACAGACACTTCTGCTGCAAACAATATATCAAAGTTGGTCTCATATTGGAAATGTCAGCTCTTCAGCAGTGAATGAAGCTTTGATGAGTGAAGTTTTCCAAACTATAGGTAAGAGCACAATCTTCTTGATAAGTATATGGAAAATTCTTATTAGTGATGACTAATATTTTATCATTCAAATCCATATCTATAACATATTCAATTTAAATTTTGTTGTCTAGTTCTGTGAAAGTGGGCATTTATAGTTCCTGTGTAAAATACAGGATATGAGTTAAGCCATTCAGTTTTATTCCCTGCCACCAATTTTTGGATATATTTTATATTTGCAAGAGATTATTTTTAACCAACTCCTTGTACAGTCGACCCTTTGGCCTTACATTGATAACTTCTGAGGAGAACAATGTGTATGTTTGAAATGATAACCAAATCAAATGTAAATACAATATGTTGGATTATGCTGGTAAAGTGGAATAAAATTGTTGATCATAATACTTGAAGAGTTGGTAAGCAAATCATTCTTTTTGTGTGAAAAACAGTCTTACCATGAATTAACTACTAAAAGTAAAAAAATCTGCTTTGATACCAGTATAAGAGATATTATCTTCATGTTGTTGTGCACTTTGCATGTAGACAGAAAAAACTTACAGAAGTCTTGCTTTTTTTCATTGTTTCAGTTCAAAATAATTGTTACTTTTGTCAGTAACACAAAAGTAGTTTTCAAAGGAGGACATATTTTTATTTAATATGTGTAATCATGCTTCAAATAATAACATTGTTTTTCTGCATTTTCTATTAAAATGAAACTTTTTTTTTGGTTTTTACATGATGTTCCTCAAGGTTTTAATTTCAGACCTTACTATGGAGAATATATTATAAATTATAAAAGATACATTATAATACAGCCTTTTTATTGGATATAACATGACTAATGTAAAATTTTGTAGTTGGTTTGTGTCAGGTTTCAGAGTTCTATAAAGAATTAGAAGAGAAATGATTAGCCTAGACGTTCTTAGGGCTTATGAAAGGTCTTTGCATCCCCTAAAATAGTATGCAAATTTTAGTTTGTGTATAAACACATACCCCACATATTTATGTTCTCTTTTTGAATTGATTCTTTTATTAATGTATTGAATCTATCCCTCAGAAAGTCTTTTGACTTAAAATTATTTTTTCTTATATTCACACAGTTACAATTGGCTTTCTCTTGGTTAGTATTTGCCTGTATTTCCTTTTATAATCTTTTACTTAAAGCTGTCTGTTTTTATACTTTAGGTGTGTATCTTGGAAATAGCATATAACTGTATATTTTAGGTCAAGTTTTGTAATTTGCCTTTTTGGTAGTAAATTTAATCCATTGATATTAGTGTACTGTATTTCCTCACATATAGAATGCTCCTATGTATAAGACACACCTTAATTTTGGGGCCTGAAATTCGAAAAAAAATGTATTATATAAAGTTATTGAACTCAAGTTTTATTCATTATAAAATTCATACAACTCCTTATCACTGTCAAAACTCCCAACCATTAGCTTGTCCTCATCTATATCTGATGACGAATCACTGTCTTTATATATTGCCTCTCATGGCCTTCTGCCATGGCATTTTCAGTAGGGTTTCTTCTTCCCATAGCCAGTCTCGGATTGTTTCCTCAGTTGGAGGAGGACCACACTTATGTTCAGCAGCACGATTTCCATTCACTTTTGCAAACTGGATCACTTTTAACTTGAATTCAGCACTGTACAAAAATCTTTTCTGAGCCATTTCTGGGCAGAACGTGACAAAACATAACCTGCCGTAATATACCGGTAACAAGTGCGAAACAATGAGCGCAAAGACGACAAGCGCAAAAAAGCGGGAAATGCAAGTAAAAAATCTACAACAATGAGCGCAAAAACAAGTGCGAAAAAAGTGGGAAATGCAAGTAAAAAATCTACAACCACTGTATAAGACGCACCCAGTTTTTAGACCCCAAATTTTTTGAAAAAGGATGTGTCTCGTACATGGGGAAATAAAGTAATTGTTTTTATGACTTCATTTCTATCATTTTTCTGTTTTGTTTTCTTTTGTACTGTTTTAGCTATAGTACTTTAAAAAATTGCTATTTCTTTTCTCTTTCTACTTGTTATGAATTTGTATATTTCTGTTGAATTATTAACTTAAAAGATAACTGATGCAGCTTTGGAAAACAATTTGGTAATTCTTCAAAAATTTAAATGTAGAGAGTTACTGTATGACCCAGCAATTTTACTACTAAGTATATACCCAAGAATTGCAAACATACACAAAATTTTGTATGTGAATGTTCATAGCATTATTCTTTTTTCTTCTTGTAGTAAAAGTGTTTATTTAAAAATAAATTTTATGTATTTAAGGTGTGCAACATGGTGTTTTTGATATGCTTAGTGAAATGATTACTGCAGTCAAGCTAATTAACTAATTAAGCTAATATATATCTCCTCACACATTTATAATTTTTTTTCCTGTGGTGAGAACAAGTGAAATGTAAATTTCCAGTATACAATACATTATTATTAACTGTAGTCATCATGCTGTCGTTAGATTTCTACAACTTATTCATTCTACGTAACTGCAACTTTGTACCCTTTGATTAACATCTCTTATTTCCCCCCATTACCTTGACCCTGGTAACCACTGTTCTACACTCTGCTTCTATGACTCTTTTAGATTCCACATATAAAAGAGATCACAGCATTTTTCTTAAGTCAAAAGGTGGAAACAACAGTAATGTCTATTAACTGTGAATGGATAAACAAAATATGTTCTCTCTTTACAATGGAATATTATTCAGGCATAAAAACACTGATATGTACATGCTACAATATTGATGAACCTTGAAAATGGTATGCTAAGTGGAAGAAGCCAGATGCAAAAAGTCACATATTATGATTCCATTTGTATGAAATACCTAGAATAGGCAAATCTGTAGAGATGGAAAGTAGATTAATGGCTGCCAGAGTGCGGGGAGAAGGAGGAATGGGGAGTGACTGATAATGGAGCATGAGTTTCTTTGGGGGTAATGAAAATGATTTGGAATTAGATAGTAATGATGTTTTCATGCTTGTGAACATGCTAAATTCAACTTAATTGTATACTTTAAAAGGGTGAATTTTATGTTACAAGGATTTTTATCTCTTTAAAAAATGTTTTAGGGGCGGCCGGTTGGCTAAAAAATGTTTTAGGGGTGGCTGTGGGTCAGTTGGTTGGAGCATAGTGCTCATGACACCAAGGTTGGTTGGTTCGATCCCCACATGGGCCACTGAGATGTACCCTCCACAACTGGATTGAAACAACTACTTGATTTGGAGCTGATGGGTTCTGGGAAAAAAAAAAAAAAGAAAAAATGTTTTAAATTGATGAATATTTAAGTAGATGAGATTGTGTGGAATGTATAAATGTTTGCGTCCCCCCAAAATGTGTCTGTTGTCTAATCCCTGATGTAATGGTATTAGGAAGTGGGTCCTTTGAGAGGTGATTAGATTATGAGGGTAGAGTCCTCAAGAATGAGATTAATATCCTTATAAAAAGAGGCCAGAAGGAGCTTCCTTGCCCCTTCCAACCATGTGAAGCCACAGTGAGAAATCAGCAGTTTGCAACTGGAAGAGGTTCTCACTAAAACCTGGCCATGCTTTGTACCCTGATCTTGGGCTTCCAGCCGCTAGAATTGTGAGAAATAAATTACTATTGTTTATAGACTATCGAGTTTGTGGTATTTTGTTATAGCAGCCTACATGGACTAAGACGTTAGGTTATTGCTATTTACGTGGCCATTATTTTATGTGGAGTTACTATGTAAAATCTTTTCTTTTAGATCCTTACCCATGAGGCCTATAGTAAGGCCTTAGTTGGGAGTAGTGTTTATCACTGTGAAATTATCTAATTCATTTTTTGTTTATTTGTCAGATTTGTTTCCTGTGATTTTCTCTCCAGAGTTTTTTTTTTTTTTTTTTTTTGTCTCACAATATTAATCTGCCTTTCTTTATTTTACAATTTCTATTTTTGTCTCCTGGCTTAGATAGCCTCAAAATTCCTATTAATAAGCGGGTGGTGGTGTTAATTATGTTTCTAATTTTCCTTTTTTCTAACCAAACTGATTCCCTGTTTCCTTTCCTGGATTTATCAAATGGACTGACTGTGCTACAAAAAAACCCCATTTTATTTTGGAAATACTCTGTCCTAACAGAATGCAGTCACAGGTCTTAAGAAATGGATCAGACAAGTAAACAGATTACGTGATTCATAACCTGATGTTCTGTCTCTGAGAAACCTAGACTTAGTGGAGTTAATTTTTTGCAGAATAGGGGAATTGAGGAAAATGGAATGATGTTAGGATCATTTCCTCTTTGACAAAGAATTTTATTTTTATCAAATAAAGCAGCTATAAAGTTTATAATAGATGAATTAAACATATCAGCTAAAATATTTTTTAAAAGCCAGATTTCCAAATGCCCAGGTTTATTATGTCTTTTTTTGCTCCCCCAAAGTCTTATTCTATTTATTTTATTCTTAATAGAGTACTTACAGTATTGTTTATTTCTATTTGGCCTGTTTATCCTTTTGTTTTGAGTTGTGAGAATTCTTTATGTATTCTAGAGGCAAGTCCCTTATAAGATATATAGTTTGCAAACATTTTCTGCAATTCTATGGGTTGTCTTTTATTTTCCTGATGGTCCTTCTGTCTAATGTTTTTCTTAATTGTAGCCTCATCTTTACATTGGACCTTGTAATCATTTAAAAATGGTTTGTTTCTTTTTTGTTCTTGATTCTATTTTTTGGTCAGACTTTTTTATGCCACAGAATCCTTCCTGCTCTTATTAATTAGCTTGATTCCCAAGGCCAACTGTTTCAGGGATGCTATCCTTCTAGATTCATTTCTTCCCTTTTTTTTTTTCATCTTTGCTTTCTCCATGCCTATTCTGCAACATGTTCTGCTTGCAGTAAGAAATATTTATGTATATTACATCTACCACTAAAACTTTTATTGTTTTTTGGCATTTTTAGAAAAATTTATATATAATTGAATTTTATTTTCCATTTCATTCATTGCAGACTGTGACTTACTGGGATTTAAAATCAACTTCATTGGTT